CTAACTATGCAGGCCTGTTTTAATGCTGTTTTATAATTACAGGTCTTAATGCTAGATTATACAAAGTCATTTATAAATAGTCAGAACAGAAGGACTTTGGGAGTTTTTAACCTGTAGCTTGCTGTAGGTTGTGGCAGCTGATGGGATTTTGCCTGTATATATATAGTGTTAGCTGTGTAATGATTGATGAATCCCTTAATTAACTCCCAACAAGTTAAGATTTATGGCCTCATATCTTTTTCCCTGACACATCTGTGTTTGTCACTTTTAAAGACATGGATAAGCCATTTCTCCAAAAGCTTTTGTGGATATTTGAAATGTTTCTGAGGTATTTTGCTTAATGTAACAAGATTAGGATTTTATGACATAAAATTTATGAAATTTTATGGCATAAGCAATCATATTGGAGCGGCTGCTGGTTGTGTGCTAGAGGGCACTATCTCCTTGAATACCGGATACCATTTTAGATTTATTTTGGGCATGCAATCATGCATTGAATGAACCAAAACCAATGAACAAATGGAAATCTAGTGGAGACTCTTAATGAGGTTCTGTTACAAATAATGAGAAAAAAAAAAAAAGAGTCCTGTGGAAGAATCATTTTTCTGAGGCACTAAACTCATGGAAAGAAAATAAATTAGTGTTATTTGGTAGCCTGCAATTATTTGAGTGGAGCCAACATTTTTATATGGCATGAGGATACAATCTAGGCAGATGCCGTGTAGCTCTTGCTCTGCAGTGGGAAAACCCAGCCATGCAGCAGTGGGTGGCAAATGCAGGAACCCAGGGGCCCTGAGTAGCAGTTTAAGCCCACAGAGAGTCCCTGAGAAGGTGAAGGGGCGTGAAGGGACATGTGCAGCCAAAGACAGGAAGGTCTCCTGGACGAGGAATAACCTCAGGATAAGAGGGAGTTTGAAAAATGACATCTTAGTGCCCTAAAGAGCCACCTACTACCAGAACCTGTGCTGGTTTAATAGAATAAATGTATTTTTAATTATGTATTTTTTCCCCACATTTTCTGCATTATCGGGAGCACCTCCCAAAGCAGAAGAGTTACCACCCTGTTTCTTGTAAGGGTATTTGGATTCCTCACTAGAACTAAATCTTTGGGTTCATCGCAGGCTTTGATAAGAATTAATTTTGAGTCTATATTTCTGACAAGAGTTGAGTCCTGGCTGCACTCTGCTGGATCTGAACTTGGTAGGTTGAGGTTGTCTAAAAATGATGCTTGGATCTTGAGTTCATGTTCGGCAGAATGGATTTCAGCTCTTCTTGCAGGTGTTAAATTGTAAGAGATTCTACCCTCCGACCCCTCTTTTAGTTTCAGAATTTGGTGCTCTGTGTTGCAGTTTTTTTCTGAACTGTCTTGACTTTTTTTTTTTAAATCTTATCCATAAGTTGATGCTTGAGGAAAGTGACATTTCCTCTCTGATCGAAAAGCAGTTCTTACAGTGGTGCTGTTGAAAACCCTTCTTAGTTTCAGATTGTTCAAGGAAAAGATACTCAAGTCATGTAAATTGTAAACTGTTGTGTTATGACTGAACCTAAATCCAGGATGCTTGCAGTCCTCTGTTAAGATGATATAATTTGACTACCTCACTTTTTAAAAATTAGACCTAGATCTGTTTAAAAAAGCTCTGTTTCAGATAACGTCATGATTCAGGATTTAGTCCTTTCCCTTTGTTTATTGCTTATAATGGGAACTCAACTTGCATCTCAGATATGGAATCCCAGCTAATACTGAGTGTCCTTAATGTAAGCTCAAGAAAACAAAGATGTGTGAAAACAATTAAAGGATTTAGAGTGTGGGACCATTTCAAATTCAGAAGAACCAGTAAAACTGTAGAAATAATGAAAGTTAACTGTGAATAGATTTACGTTGTGTCATGTTATTTTCTGCTTGTGAGCTTATCGGAGTAATTTTTTGCTATGGGCTTTGGTACTTTTAGTCCTTTTTGGACTTAGGTTGAAGGAGATGTGGATTTTTTTTTTTATGTTTTTACTCTTGCTTTTTCTTTTGGAATTTTTCCAGATGTTCATCAGGAGTTAAGTGTTCTCTGTGGCACTCTGGTGTTTGTGCTTGATGGGGAAGGTGGTGGCAGGGTCTTCTGCAGGGCAGATTATGCCTGACTCATCTTGGCTCACGCATGGGCAGTTACCTGAGAAGAAAGCGCAGTTCTCTTCCATGCAGGCACTTCTCCAAACATCCTGGTCATTTGGAAGAGCGCTGCAGACTAGAGGGGTGACTTAGTCCTCTTTGCCGCCTGAGCCGTTGTGTAGCCCTCTCGTATTGTGATGGGCACTCGGCTTGCAGCTTAATCTGGATCTCACAGGAGCTGTGCAAAGCAGGAAGAAGGTTCTTGCTCCTTCCCTGCTTTCACTATGGCCCCCAGTCTAGTCCGTAGGTTTTAGTTTTAGATCAAGAATACAATCATCTCTCCTGCTAGCATATCGAGGTGGTCACCTCTTTTGCCTACCTGGGGTGTTTTTTATAAATTCCCCACAGAAAATGTTGTCATTCCTTCTGGGAACAATGACAAGCAGAAGGTGATGATGATTTGCAGCGTGCTAACTGAACGCTCTAGTGGAAACCATATATTCACAAATGAAGTTTAGCAGAAGAGCTCTGTTCAAAATGATAGTCAAACTCTGCCTGTGAAGTAGTGTGACAGAATCTGTAGTTATTCTGGGTTAACATCAGTGGGAGTTTTTCACACAACTTGAGTATAGAGTATACAATACAAATCTTCATTGCAGAGGAAGGCATCCTCTCTCTCTATTGTATTGTCAAAGTGAATTGTAGTGGAGAATTTTGTAGGTGGCTTACAGTGTTTTCAGTCATCTTGTCAAATATGAATGTCCTAAACTATAGAGCCTACTGTGGAAAACCTGACTAATGATTTTGTCCCTCCCTTTCTGTTTGCCAAAATTGAGACAACCACTTAATACTGATTCTTTCAGAAAGAGAGAAAACTCAAGCCTCTATTAAGGCAGTTCCGAAATAAGTAACCAAAATGTTACATTCGGAATCAATGGAAAATGTGTGCTGTGGTGTGGCATGTGTAGCAGTGCAGAGTATGAATAATTCACGTTAACGTAGGGACAGTTGCATGGTTTCTGCAGAAGAAAAGCTTGGGGTCTGTCACATCACACATAGCTGTAAAATCCTTCACGCAGTGGGCTAATAGACTCTAAGTGGCAGCTTTCTATCTGGCAATCCCTGTCTTTATACATATGCTTCTCAGCAGACATGTAGGTGGGGGAGCCCAAAACGCAGAATTCAGGTGGGCTGGATGAAGCGTTAGTCTGTTGGACTGAGTCGAGCACTAATAGCAGATATCGAGAGCGGCCCTGTGCTCAGACAATAGGCGGTGCTGGGAAGAGCAGGCGACGTGCAACTGAGTCTTGGTCCTGTAGGCTTCTCTTTTTTGTCTGATTTTTTTTTTCTTTAATATAAGCTAACTTGGCTCGGGAGGCAGAGCTCAAAATGAGATCATTAGAAACAAAATAAGCCCTAACAAAGGGCTGTTTAAAGTCACTGTTTGTTTTCAGACCCAGTTGACTGCCGTTAAGAACCATTTCGTGCTCAATATGCCAAATCGCATGGACATGCTCCACCTCACAGCAGCCCCACACGTGGTTCAAGAGGCTGCTGGGCTTTTGAAACGCGGCCCTTTAACTGTGAAGTGGAAAATCAAAATGGGGTAATTAGAATCAGAAATGCTAGATTTTTGAGGAGGAGTGGTATTACTTCAGCCTCTCTTTTCAACTCTTACATACAATAGTCCTCAGTTTTCTTGTTCGTAACTTCTCCCTTTCCATTAAATATTTTTCTCCTTTTATATTTCTTTTCTCCTTTGACTATGTCTGCAGGGTTTCTTACTTTTCATTCCACTCCTTACGACAGATGCCCCTGCTTAGCACAGGGGCCCATTATGCCATCCATGCACATACACTGTTTTTCATGAACAATGCTCTTGTAATTAATCCCCAAAGTCCCCAGCATTTTAGTACTTAGCTGGACCTTTGTATTCTGAAGACCAAACTGAAGTGTTCTGAGTTCATACTGTGTTGTAAGATTTTTTTACGGTGACTGTCTTGGATGAAAACTGACCTTTCTGGTGACATAAGGTTTCTTTCAGTCTTTCTGTAAGGTGAAGATGTATGGATATGACTGGAAAAGTATTATCGGGCAATCTCAAAGAATTTGGATAGCTGGCCCAAATTTCCCATGAATATTTGTGTGTGTTTTTAAACTATATGCCCTGCGTACGGTCCTTGTGTATCCTGCTTTATATAGAAGTAATTTATATATATATATATGTATATTTCTTTTTTCCTGAGATGACTGTATGTAGGAAATACAGGCTATCTTGACAGAAATTATAACCTTGAATATATGCTGTCACAAAGCTTTGATTATTAATGTCCAGTTGTTTAATTGCTGATCTATCACAGATCTGTGAACCTTAAAAGATCATTGCAACGTGATTATAATGTTCTATCACTCACATTGATGAAGTTTTCTGAAAACAGACATTTTGTCTTTGACAGAAGCTTTTTTTCTGTAAGTTGTTTTATTAGACACTCTTAAATATATGCATGATTATCCATTAAAAGCAGAGGTGACAATGGCTTGCACTGGGAGCCATTCTATCTTCTGCAATCTCCTGCAAACACAAAACCAGACGGATGTATTTTTAAAGGCATTGCATTTCGTTATGCAGTCTTCTTAGGTGAATTTTCATGTTTAAGAAGGCAGACTACAAGAGAGTGCTATATTAGTGCATTATTCTCACAACAAACAAGCCACTGTTCTGTTGCTACCTGCTTGGCCATTGTTCCCAATTGTGTATGCTTTGCAGTGGTATTTGGATGGTTTCCTGCTCTCTGCCAGCACAAAAAAGGCATTTCTGTTACAATGGCCCCTAACCACACAATGACGGCATTAAGGATTTATTTGGAGGTTTCATTATTTTCTCCTCTTTTGTTCCTTCCAGGATGTCTTCCAAGCGACCAGCCTCTCCGTATGGGGAAGCAGATGGAGAGGTAGCCATGGTGACAAGCAGACAGAAAGTGGGAGAAGAGGAGAGTGACGGGCTCCCAGCCTTTCACCTTCCCTTGCATGTGAGTTTTCCCAACAAGCCTCACTCTGAGGAATTTCAGCCAGTTTCTCTGCTGACGCAAGAGAACTGTGGCCATAGGACTCCCACTTCTCAGCACAACACAATGGTAGGTTTGCTAATGGTCTATTGTGCTTACAGCCATTCTTTCAGCTCTGCCTCTACAGTAGTTTGGCATCCAGATCTATGCTCTATGGAGTATACAATGCACAGTTACACATACAAGAACATGCTACAATAATGTGAAAGCTCTGACCTAGCTGGACTGCCTTTACCCTCCACTACAACTGCTAAATCACTTAGGGTGCAAACTCCCCTTTTCCTCACCTTTGCCTGCTGGCATTTAGGGTGCTAACACTTTTTAGTAACAGTGATGTGAATATGAAGTGTATGTATTCAGCAAGCAGTAAATGGGTTTTGGAACCCTGTAAGTGAGAGTCATGTTTGGCGTGGTGTCTGAAACATCACCCCAATGCCAAGTTTGTGCAGTAGTAAAGCACGCAAGGCTGTATGAAAGGTCGAAAAAAACAGTTTTGGATTTGGCTGTTTTTAAAAATTCAGGTCTGATGTGTGTCTTACATGCCACAGATACTTAAAAGAAAGTTTACTGTGTTTACTGAATTATACCAGCCTACTGTTTTTTCACTTGTGAATTACCACCTCTTTATGCACCTTACAAATGAAGGTGTGCACTTAATTCAGTTTATCTAGCAGCCCACTGATAGTCCAGTTTGGCTTTCTATAGAAACAGATGCCAAGAACAGGAAAACAATGCCGTGTGCCTCGCTAGGACTGTAGTACCACTGCTGTAAAGTGTTTGAATATTTAATGTAGAATACTGGAATATATTTTTATGAAGGTTGAAGGAAGGGGGCACGAAAAGCTGTAGAAGCCACAGGACTTAGGCACCTTGACAAAGCTGCCCGTTGTGAACACACTGCACAGCTCTCGCCTGTGTACAGATTGACTGCAACTTTCCTGTTGGTTTCCCATTTTGACAAGGCCACTGACAATTTCCCTCTAAGTGAAGATAATGAATGGACCTGTGTTTTTGAAGACTTTTAAAAAGGAATCCCAAAATAGGTGATAGTTTATTCTCATAAAAGCCTGCAACAACTCCATGGTGCTATTTAAGCCCTTACAGCTCATAACGCATATGTAACAAGGTCGTTATAAAAAGCCTTAGGGATTATTATTTCTCATTGGACAAAGTTGCTGGATATTCACTGGAGCTGCTTTCCTAGGCAAAGTGACTCACTCATCCCATTCCTCTTTCTCCTTCTCCTCCCCTTGTTACTGTAATGCTTAAGTTCACACAGTGATATGGAATATTTCATTTCATTTTGAGCTACTGCAACTTCAAATGAGGAGGGAACCTTGTTGCAAAAATTATTCGTGAGCAAGGCTGTTGTTACTCGGGCTTGTTTGCTTCTGATCCTTTATTATGCCTTTTATGTGAATACAGTTCACTAATACACAGTTCCAGTAAATTGGGTGTTAGGTTGTCGCTGGGGTATGAGCTTTGCTGTATTTTCGCCTGTCTTAAGAGAACACGTTAAAGAAAAGAGGCTGTTCCTTAGAACATGTATGTTAATAGTCCAACTTTTGATGACTTCATCTCTAGAACTGGACACTAATGAAAGAAAACCTCATTGTCTTCTAAGAGGCCCACCAGGAATATTCTAACTGCACCTCACTGAAACATTTGACTGCTCTTTAACTGAGTTTAACAAGCTTTTCTATTCATTTATAGTTTTTAAGACCAAGAAGTATAGCTGATCATGTAGTGTGACTTCCTGCTATATAGACTTTATTTAATCTGATATGAAAACAGTCTATTATGTCTCTTAATAATAGGAGGTATTGTATGTCTTAGGCAATTTCATTGTGGTAATGAAATACTAGAGGTTGATTTGAAGCATTTTGTTGTGGGGACAGGTTTGGATTTCATACATACATTTGAAAAATGCCAGTTTGAATACAAGTGGCATTTTGGTAGAATTT